TTTCAATCGTGAAAAGGCAGGTGAACCGTAATCCAGCGAATCATCGATATCTTTAAAAATATCGTGCAGACTTTATTTTGTTTTGTTCTTTCATATGCAATATATACTGTAGATGTTTCTTTCTTGTCTATATCGTCACCTATATAATATCAATAAGTACATGAACAGCGTAGCCCTTGACTTACTTATTTCTGTTACCTCCTTCTCTCGCTGTTCTTGGATGCTTTGTTTTGAACATGATATACACTATTGCTAACGATGCATATTGCAAATTCGAACTTATTCGGAGTAGTTATGTCTTTGACGTCAGAGCCATGTATAAAACACCCTAATACGTATCCAAAATATGTAAGTAAAGAAACAAACCAGAGCAACAGCAAAGAACCTATGAAGTACAGTTTACTTAATGGATTACAGTAATGCGAGTGAGTATTTAATAGCATTCGCGAAAGTCAATATAAATTATAATTAATCAACGTCCTCCTAATCCTCGTTAAGCTTTTTATTAATTTGCAACCATAATAAAATTATGAATTTTTGAAAAATACTCTATTTGTTGAATACCACTTATAATTGCCTTCGTTAAAATTAAATTGCAACTTCTGGGCATATACTTTAAATACATAATTTTACAGCTTTTCATTCTTAGAAAGTGATTAATATAAATACACCTTAAAATTAAGTATCATATGGTCAATTGTGATATTGTTAATTTTGTTCTTTGATGTAAAGCAGCCTAATTCATTGAAAAATATCAAGACCTAGTTTTTAAGTTTATAACAATTCATTCTTTATTTGTAAAGTTGGACTCAGCTTTGATATAAAAAAAGTACATTTTTTACACCTGCATTGACTTGTACGAAATTTTTTTTTTCCAAAATTTCCATTGACAACACTTTGTTTTCTCTAGAAATACATGAGATATTGTTAAAAACCAACTATTAAATTGATAAAATCATTCTAAACATTCACATTTAAAGCACGACTAATAAATAAGACCAAAAAAAAAAAAAAAAATTGATTCGTACAACAAAATATCGCACTTAAAAATAATCTGCCAGTTTTTTCTTAATACTTCGGCAGATGTTAATTGTAGGAAAATTAGCTGCTACAATAGTAATTTTTATCACCAGTACGCATCTCCTCCAAGGCGGTCACGGATCCCAAGGGGCTTTTGTGATCGCCCTATTTGGATTAGAGGCGCATTAGATGCAAACGCTATTTTCTACCGAGGGTGTACGAGGAGATTTTTGATTTTTTAAGCATTCGAATGACATTTTAGAGAAAAAATTACTTACCATACCACCAAGTATCATTTTTCAAGCTCTACGACTTGTGTCTTTAAACGTTAAGCATTTATCGTTATTTCGTTATTTTTATACTTTTTAGCATCATAAAATGTATGCTGAAATGTGAGAATTATATATATCCTTGAAATACGTATTGAACAACAAAGGTTTCCTTCGGAAGATTGGATAATATATTCATCTCTTGTTTGTCGTCATTTTTTTTACCGTTATGATCAAGAAACCAATTTTTCATATATTTTTAGTCGTGTGTGCGCTTATACTTTTTTTCATTGTTGAGATAAGTAGTCAACCAAAAAGTATCATTTCAAACTATGACGTCTAAAATTTCATATTAGAATGTACTTTGTATTTGTTCGTAAAATTACAGCCAAAAAAATGATTTTTTTCTTTAGGATACAGTATAGTATTTTTCTGAATGTAAATTACAATGTTCTAGAAAAAAGGTAGATTATGAACGAAAATTAGTTTTGTTTACTTTATTATGTATAATGCATATATAGTACCTATGCATGGTAATTTTACTATAGTTTATGTAATACATAATATAGTAATTTTACTAAGATATATACGATATATTTCTATGAGGTAAAGTGCACGGTACTCTTACGGAGCAGTCGCGCCTAATAAGGGTGAAAAGAACTTTCAACGCAGTGCACGTTCAAATTGTACTTCGAGAAAATATTCACGAACTAAGTGTAAAAACGAGTTTTCTCAGAACGCTCGTCTCTAAAGTCCTGGAAACTTTAAATTTTACACTCGCTTGAAATTACAGGGTGCGCTTTTACGCGTTTATTATTTCACGCGTTATGATTTCAAATACAAATATAAAACGCGTTGGGGAGCGAAAAAATTAACATTCCGACTCTCTCCTTAGCGTACACAAACTTGCTGTTCCAAACTTTTTGCTGTGCTAAGAATCGTCTGCAATTCACAGAGGGAAAAGTGCATAAAAACTCGACGAATAAAAAATAAGTGTAAATAAATCAACGAAAGTCATCCTAATGTTTTCCCATTTTTTATTCAACGGTACATTTGCTGCTGTGCATCAAACAGACTTAACAATATTATATCTCGTAAACATTTGAACAATATGCCGTTTTTTTTTTTTTTTTTTTTCTTAGCATGACACATAATATTATGGTTTCCACGTTCTTACTTTTTTTTAACGAACTAGAGCCTCAAAATCATGAATCAAAGGTATATACACCAATAAACTTAAATTCAATGTTATACAAAGGCAATTAAACGTATGCGTACGTATATTTATAATAAATAATAAAATTAGCATTTCATTAACTATCACGGCTTCATTAAATTAAAAGTAACTTCAAGAAGTTAAAACATGGTTTAAAATACGTTTTTTATCAAGGATGCCAGGGCAACAGAGATGAAACTCTGTTGGTCAATTTTAATTCATATTGATTTACTTGTTCCACTGTAATCCATTAAGCAAACCGTAGGATATGTAATCCATTAAGTGAATTGTTCTTCTCAAGTTCTTAGCTGTTTCTCTAGTTTGTTTGTTTTTGTTTTCTTTTTCCAATAAGCATTAAGGTGTCTCATGCCGTCAAAGATGTAACTACAGCCAAGGACGCCAAGTGCGACGAAGCTTATGTTTGATGCACTTTTTAATTTGAAAAAAAAAATTGTTAAAATCTATAATATACTATAAAATTAGAATTCTGTGAAAGAGGCTTCTAAATTGAAAATTCAACAGGTACCTTTTTTTAGTTTCTAACAAAACACATGCGTCACATTTTCGCTCCTCCATTTGAATGGTTAAATTTTCAAAAGCTAGCGAAGCAGCTCTACATGCAATACGTGAAAAAAAACAGCCCGCAACGGACGACCGATGTGCATCCAGCACATGATAGAGTCGTGAGCTGGTTATTCACAATTTGGTATTACCCTTCAATTCAGCCCATAACCTATATTTTTTGAAACAAGAATCTGTTCCGAATCGCATTCACTGTTTTATGTAGGTACATATCTGCATTATCTGTTAGAGATTGAATAATCTTTTAGCTTTATGAACTGCAATAGAAATTGAAAGTTCAAAAAAATCGATTTTCAAGCTATCATTTCAAAATTAATCATACGTCATTTTATGAAATTTTTTCACAATTAGAAATTGTGTGATATTATAAGAACACGCAGTATTCAAGCTTTTTTCATTTTTAGGCACTGCTACACGAACGCACCTTATATTTTCACCGTAACAAAACTACTAGACTAATTAGAATGCGCAACAAATTTTGATTCTAAAGTGAGTATGGCTTGAATATTTTTGATTATGAGTCCACGTGTAATCAACTCTGTACGTGCGTAATCGAATTTCCAGCCAACCCAAGTAATTTTCATTTGATTAGGTGCAAATTTAATAGACAATTTTGTCTTTGTACTGGTAGGAACATTCAGTTGTGCAATCAGGAAAAATTTTATCAAAGGAAACACATTTCCATAGCTCTTTCAATTACTTTCAAACTCTGAAAAAAAAACTTTTTATTTTCTTGCATCTTTGCAAATTATCGTTTTACTCACGTGTGTTCCAAGAGAAAATTGTAGATCTAATGGAAATAAAACTTTTGTGTACTTTCAACTTTTTGAAAGTATATCATAAATTGCCAAATTAACAAATACCCCAACTACCGAAAATAACTCAAAATAGTAAAAAATTCAGAATTTCGCCAAAAACATTTAATAATAGTCGTTGTATGCATTTTACTCTGAAATGTCAAAAATACAAAAACGGTGAAATTTTCTTTTTTTTTTTTTTTTTTCTATAACCAAATGAAATTCCTTGGAGTCTTCGAAAATTAAACTTTTTTGTTCCATGCAATGTCATTCACGTGGTCCTTTCAACAACAGTCGTTATCAGTTTGTTAAAAAATCTTGGAAGAGCACATAACACTCAAAACGAAAACTACAAACATCAAAGTTATACGTCTTTAACGTTCGCTTTTCAATTTTTACAATTTTGATGTTTGATGTAGAAAAGCGTAGCACTTTTAAATAAATCTTTACTAGTTAAAATAAATGTTAATCGGTAACCTTTTGAAATAAATCTTGCACTTTTATATCCAACATCATTGTTGAAATCAAAGACACTTGCTATTGAATCGGTTATATGCACGTCCGAGTAATGTCCAATGTCATAAAAAATCACAACTTTACTTTACGATCGCGAGAACCTTTTTAAAGTTAGTCTGTACTATTTTCTGGAAATCCCTGTAGCACCTTCAATCTTGATTTTTAAATGCTCATTATTCTACTCTTAGATATACGAGCTCTAAACAACAGGAAAACCTAATAATTGAGGAGTGATTGTATAATTGTAGAATTACCGCATTACTCAAAGTGCGAAGATGTTAGCATACTTTAATTAACTTTTGATGGTTCGTCTGAACAAGCAAACGTAAAATGCTTTCTCCCGATCACCAAAAAACGAACCCATCGATAGTTAAACATCCGTAAGATTATTAACGAAGAAAAAAAAGCTCCAGATCTCTTGTACTGCTATGGAAACGTGACTCCTGCACGGGGAAGTAATCGACTGATTTTATCGCTCCCTCCAGCGAGAAAACGTTCTCATAAATTCGTAATTTATTACAAATTCAAAACCGAAATTTGAAAAAATCGACTGGCACCCCCAGAGATAAAAGAAACAAAAACCAAAAAAATAGGCCTTACCGTGTTTCGAGTATCCAGGGTAGTGCACATTGTGCAACTGTCCCGGGCAGATGACCGCGTGCTGCTGGCCGGGATGCTCGGCCCCGAGGCCGGACTCCTCTTCGCCGACAACCTCCATCCTCGGAGCTCCGGTCGCGACGACACGGGCTACCCCCCTCCCGCTGGACCTCTTATTCAACCACTGCCTCCGACGCTGGCGCGTCGCCCAACACCTTCCCCGAGCTCTTCTACCGCCGCTGCCTTATTACAGCCTCTACTGCCCTTTTATGATAATATATATCCCTCCCACCCCCTTTGACGCTGATCAGAGCACACTACACTCGAGAGGTGATCGGGCGCTGATTACGCGCGTACCGCCACTGCTGACGCCGCGACTGGAGAAGGTGCGAGGAAGAGCCCGATATGCCCGTGATTGATTATTTAGCCGAGTGATCCAAGCCGGCACACACGAAAGCGGCGCGACACTTGTTTTTTTTTTTTTTTTTTTTCCTCCCACGCACCGCAGGCTACGGTCTTTTTTTCCTTCCGCTCGCTCTCGGCGAGCCCGTGAAACTTTTACTCGAGACTTTGCACTACTCAGTTTTCAACACTTGCCTCTCTTTCTCTCCCTCCTTCGCGCAGTTTCCTCTTTTTTTCTTTCCGGCGGACCGGCGGCGGAGCGGGAAGAGAGCGCGCGCGAAAACTCGCGCCCGGCGGGGAGGGCGGAGGGTTACCCCCGCGATAGAGCACGGTGTTGCTCCGTACGGCATATGCAGTGGTCGCAAGGTGCTATCCCCCGGGGATGGTACGGCGCGCGCGAGGAGAGAGACGCATCGGGTACGACTGTGCGGGCCAGACTGAGCGGAGCGCACTCGACCCCCGCGCTCCGGAGCTCCGGCTTCCTCCCCTCGCCGCTCGAGGCGGCGGTGGTGAGGGTGGCGCGATGAGCAATCCACCTTCTACCTCCCCCCCTCTCTTTTCGCGGGTGTACATGACAACGAGGATAATAGCCAAGATAGCGCGTGAGCGCGTTTTGCGTTCGCGGGGCCGGCTTGCTCTCGACCTTTGCCGAGTGAGAGGGTCATAAACGGGGGGGGGGGGGCGATGCATATTGCGGATAGCGCGCGGGTGCCTGTTTACGCTGATATCTCGATGGAGGATGAATTGGCCCGCTCCCGCTGGAATCCGGACCTCCTTCGGGAAAATGGGGATGGGATGTTACTTGCATCGCTAATTTTTGGGGTGCTGGTGGCAGTTTGCATGATTTTTTTTTTACTTGATTTCATTCTATATAGAATGACCGAGTTGGGGTGGATGTGGGTCGTTAGAGTACATCGGAATCGTTGTGGAAAAGTGTCTTTAGCCTTACAGTTTTACTTCGATAAAAAGGTAACGGCAGTACCTTGGAATCGTTTTGAAACAGCTGTTAAGTTGCGTGTTGCAAAGGGGGACCGTATACGTACAATCAAGGGCCGTTTGCACTTGAGTCCATCTGATAGAAATCGAAATCGAACATCGACAATCAAAATTTAACTTTTAAACTAATGCAAAAGAATAGCGTGTGATGATATTTCTACGAGGCCTAAATATACGAAAATTCTGAAATCTGAGATTTGAGCAAAAACAGTGTCTGATTCCGTTAAAGAGCCAGAAGATTTTCAAAATGTTAGGCTCAATATGCAGCTTTTATTGAAGTTTCATTGGTTCAAGATTCTGTTAAAGTACTTGCCGGGATTGTCGCTTTCCTTACGTATTTAGTAGAAACATATACGTGAAGCATCTGAGAAGAATATAATAAAGGAAAAATTGATTTGTTGACATTTGTAAAGGGCATTTCTTCGTATTACGTACAAAAAGCTTATATAAGGTACATTATGTAAATATATATTTATTGACATATAACATATCCAGCATGTATTTATTGTCGTATAATATATCATACCACAGTAGGGGACCATTATTTTGTAACTTGTAAAAAAAAATTACACAAATAAAAAGATGATTTTATTTTTAAAGTTCTTTTTTCTGTTGTTACACCCGATTTATTTAGATAATTTTATTTTTTGGTGGGCTCAATTGCAACTATTTTTTTGTCATTCTTATCAGTAGATGGGCTCAAGTGCATAGTACTCAAAATTAACGTGGTGTCGCAACTCTGGAAGAGGATACCTTAACAATGTCTAGGTAAGAATTTTTTCAGATACATTTCAATGACCATCATTATCATGGATTTCATCTTGCTCCCATGAATAGTTAACTAGTCCCAGTAACAATGCCGTGTTTCTAAAATGATACCTGTTGTATACGTGACATTGCGCGGGAGGTACCTGCGATCAGTATTAAACAAAGCTTGCTTCAATATACCTAAAGGTTTTCTCAATATTTATACCTCATTATGAATTCTTTTTACTTAGGAATTCGATTTCGCAATACTTTTACAACCATTGTTCGATGTCCTGAGTCTTAAATATTTATGTATTACCACGTAAGGAATATTAATTTTTTGATAATTGCATGTAATTACGCCCTACCACTGTGTTACGGATCGCTTGTGACTGAGTGAAACTCGGAGGTACCTCTAGGTAACCTTTATATATACACACCTTGCCCTTTGCGTTTCATGCGCCGGTACACAAGTGCCTACCCGCTTTGCGCCACCTTCCCTTAAGGTGGCTCCTCACTATAAATCCCACTAGAAGAGTAAGCATGCTGCAACACAGCTTTTCATTGGCTGTGGAGGTTCTTGACTAAAAATGGATAGGTACCTATATAGTCCCTTCAAAAAAAGTTTAGTCACATCTACACCGTTGACCTATATCGTACAATACAGTGACCCGAGCAGACGTATGTATACAAATCAAAAAAGTACGTAAGTCAGCCCCGCATTAAATTATTTTCTTAGTTCAGTGTCTCATTTATTTTTATTATAATTACGATTCCCCACAACTCCTATTCATTTTACGTACAACTTTCTGACCAATTCAAACTACGCGGTCTACCGCTCTTCGGTGTAGCAGACGCCCCACACTTTTCATCTGTTCGGTGACTTGCACAGTTATCTACTATTTTCAAAAAATATCCTATAAAACCCATGGTAATGTCCAAGTACCTGAATGTCGTTGGAAAGATTCTGATTTCTTCTATCTGCTACATAGTTTTCTATTAAGAACTACAGTATCTTTGCTGAGATCTCATACAACCTGCGCCACCAATTTGACGACCCCCTCCATAAGAGGCTATGTAACAGAGTCTATTTTCCAGTTAGTTTTTTTCAACAATTTTGGTGGTGACGAGGTCTCAAATTTTGGGAAATGACTCCTTGCACCTTCAAGAATCATCCTTTAAAATATCATTTAATACTCCAGTGTTTTGATTTAGTGAGGAGCCACCTTAATTAAGATGGGGTGCAAGTTCCACTAATATATATTTTAGAGCACTAATAACTTAAAACCAGATGTTTTTTGGATTGATTTCTACAATATATAGAGACTTTTCTTACTTCCTAGTTGTTTATTATGTCGACAAAGGGATTGAATCGAACATAATTAATCATTTGCTTGTGTTTATGGGGTTTGTACTGTAGAAAACGCTGTTTTTTACGCTTTTTCGTAATTCCCTTTCAAGCTACCTAGTCTAAACATGGTTTAAGACTAAATCTACTTTTAAAAATGATGTAATGATTAATTTAATATGTCTAAGTACCGTCAGAATTTAGTGAACGTCTGTAAAATAGAACCAAACGTGAGAAAGTCATTAATTTATTCATTCATGTTTGAAGACTAAGGAATCAGTAAAATATTATGAGAAGAAATAATCCACATTACACTCGGTAAATTTCTGCTTACGTTGGCTTCTAGCAGGAACTCTCTCTCTCTCTCTCTCTCTCTCTTTGCTCTTACTGTTTTCCATTCCACTGACAAAGTGGCCGATTGGTACGACAAACATCACCAGATCCACTAGAAGCTAACCCATACAGGTCATACTATACTATGCAGGCATCTTCTGACATCTGACTTTATTCAGAGCAGATGCGGTGACTCTTGAAAATGCATGGAAATCGGTATTGCGTTGTAAGAACGAAATTCTAATCAAAAGACTGCACGTATCGGTTCCACTTATGTACCTATAAGGTTCGTTCAAGCCACTTTTGGTTCGGTTCGGTTCTCTTAACAAAATACACCTATATATACATGCAGAACCAGTTCTGTTTGGTTTCCTACATATAGGTATATTTTTTTAAGAGAACCGAACCGAACCAAAAGTGACTTGAACAAATCTAGTGTGTTTGTATACAGAGCGAGTTCGTAAATAATCCAACTGAGTTGATTAGTTTAGTTAATCATCATAATTTCGAATTATCAGTTGAGCAACAGTGACATTTAATATTGGACCATAATCCTGGCATGGCTATGATTGTTGTTTGTCATTAATTTTTCGTTAAGGGAGTGAGCTGTATGTGTACTTGAATTATGAATGAAACTTGATTATGCCGAAATGAGAAACAGACATCAAAATGTTGTCTCCAGCTCGAGAATCTCGGGAAGCACAACAGTTTCCTCGCAAAAAGCAATTCGATTAACGTGCTGCCGAAGCCCGCGAGCAGACCCGGCAAAAACTCATCCCCGACATTTTGTGCGACGAAACGGGCGCGAGAGTGAGCTAGAATTTTGCAGAACTAACGAAAAAGCGAGCGCAAAAAGTAAAATCTGATGCATCCGAGACGCGAAGGAGCAGAGGAGAGTTTGAATGCGAGAAAAGGTGCGAATTTTTCTTGTGCTCCTTCATTTACGAAAACGTTCACATGCTTGTTGAAACTTCTAATTGGCCATTTCACTGGGCAAAAAAAAACACTTGAATAAAAGTTACTGAAGAAAAGTATTCGTGACTGTGCTCTATGGATAAATAGAGGATAGGACGCTTTTTGGTAGACCTTCAATATTAAATGTCGAATTTTAATGATAAAGATTCAAGGCATACATCGAAAATTGATTTCAAATGACTAAACTCAACGTAATAAACATTTTAAGCCGAAAGAAAAGCATAAAATGATCGGTTTGATTATATGGTACATTACTGACGCCCACGTGTCTCTAATAAGCTCGGAGCTCTTAAAAGAGGTCTGAGATGAATAACGCGTGTTTTGGGTTAATGTTCGGTTTCAAGCGAATCTACTGTAATGCTGTTTTTTTTGTCCTTCGTTCTAGAACTGTCCTTGTATAAGTCCTA